GATTTATGTTCTTGCAATACTTATGAATAAGGAATTACTGTGCTCTCCATAATTATCAAGCCAGTGTTGATACGATATAGCTGTATTTGAAAATAACAATGACAATAAATGCTAAAACTTTCTTGGTGAACTAAATCTCTATGTGAGAGATGGGTCTTTGTGTTTATTCTTTCAACAGACATTGAGCACCAATTGTATGTCAGGCATAGGGGATGTACCAATACAAAGCATACATAGTTCAGGGGAGGGATTGTATGTAGCAGACAAGCTAGATTCCATGTGAATTAAGAGTGATGGAAGTTATGGTTCTTACAAGTAATTTTCACATGTTTATTTAATCATAGACTCAAATGGAAATTCAACAATCTGTAATATCCTCCCTCAAACAACATTCTCATCCCTTAAATAGCTTTGGAGAAGGCCAGGATAATGAAAACACTGTGGACAAATGAGTTCTCATTGGTTGATCTGGCTTGCTAAATCAAAGTATAAGACCTCACTTCTTAATTGCTCACTTAACATTCCAGGATATTTTTGGAAAACGGATAGTTTTAGAAGCTGCCAAGCAGATGGATGAATGGTAACTGACTTGGAAGGTCTAGGAAGGCTGAAATCAAAGCCTCCTAATAAGCTGACTAAAACTACTGAATCCTGGAAATTGAAACCCCAAGGTGCTCCTGGAGGTGAGAATGCAGGGTGGGGCTGAACGTCGTAGGAGAACAGGTGGACACAGTTATAAGGAGGAGTCTCCATTCCTCCTTACTCTCACTTCTCCCCATGCAGAAGCCTGGAGGTAACTGGTTGAACCAAAGATATTCTGCTCTTGGAGATACCAGATCCAGTTAAGAGTGGTTATGGAGATATCATAATAAAAATGAAGAAAACGTGAAAGTCTAACTTCTGAAAAATGAGATTCAAAGAATCCTTTTCCACGGGGTTCTCAATATCCAGAATCCTGGAAGCTCAATTTATATTCTTCAGTTAGGAGATTGTAGGACTGTTCTCTGGGGAAACAGCCCGTAAAGAAGGCTGTATAGTTATGTATTGCCAGTAATATAGATCTTTTGGGAAGAAGGGGGAGGGAAAGGTCAGCATGTGAGGCAGTGGTGTAAGGGAGTTAAATCCTACCTTTTACAGCATGTAGTCATTTATTGAAAAATCTAGACATATCACAATAATTATGTTAACTGTTTTTACATAGTATTAGAAATATAGAGATAATTCCAGAAGATGCTGCTAATGTATTTGAAAATAGATTTATCCATTGTGTTTCTCCTATCAAGGTTTAGGAGTGGGATGAGAAGTATATTATTTTATAAAAGTAAAAAATAAATAAGGACAATCAGTAGAGTGCCATAAAGTCAAACATATCCAGCCAGATTCAGCTTCCCCACCTGTGAACTCTGTGATCTTGGCCATGTTGCTTAAATTTTATGAACTTTAGTTCTCTCCTTGGTAAATGAATGGAAGAAAAAAGGACCAAACGCTCAATAAATATCTTAGGGTGGTTTTGAATATTAAATAAGATAATATATAAAAATACTTAGTGTAGTACTCAATAAAGCTTAACTAATACTATTATGACAATGCTTCATGAAAGATGGGAAGAAAAATCAACCCAGAGTGAGGAGAGAAATAAATGTTTGACTCCAAGCATAAACACACACAGAGCACATAAAGAGAAGGGGAAGTGAGTGAAGGATAAGTACATTATAGGGATGGTTACATTTGTCCTTTATGTTTAAGTTAAAAGAATCAGATTAAAAGAAACAGTCAATTCTACTTAGAAAAATGTAAAGAGATAAAATTCCTAAATAATCTTTTGTTGACTCACCTTAACTCTACTTTGTAGAACAAGGTGACATAAATATGTCCAAAGGATTTACTGAGTACCTACAATGTACAAGGCACTAATTTCAATTATAAAATTATACAGATATTATATTTAATACAAGCATTTTTATTTTTATTCTTCCATTTTATTTTTATAATTGCCCTGAGAATAGGATGGATAACACTTTACAGTTGGCAGTGTTAGGAGGAAGGATTTGGGAAAGAGTGGTAAAAAAACAAACAAACTACAGAAATTGCTTAACTATTAGCAGAGCTATGGAAGTAAGAGATAATAATTTTGTTATAGGTACCTATTTTTATAACTCAGTGTGACAATTTGTTTATTAATTTTCAGTGAGAAGTACAACTGCCAAATGAACTAAAATACTGATATCACCCGATTTGCACATCCTCTTCCCTATAAAATATATTTCCATGGAAATTCAAATTGCTTGGTAGAAATGCAATGAAGGCACCCTTGTGGGATGGTATTAAAGGCTGATCTCATCAAATAATGACAGCTGATGGCCCCCAGCACACTCTAAGTCTGTGTTTGCCAGGCCACCAGGACATCCGTGCTAGCAGGCCGTGTCGCCTCCATCTCTGGGTGGTGGTGAAAGTATGCTGACAGCACTGTGTTCTTTGACTTCATGCAGCCCATCTGTGACACTTACTCTTCAGCTGTATTTCGTATATTTCAGTGGGTTAGGTTAAAGGCTTCTTTTATATCAAGTCACATTCCAGGCATGTCTTCTTGATGAATATGATATATTTTAAATTGTAATGAGAAAACTCACTTTCTGTAAGGATTAAAAATGAGTAATGTATCCATTTGTTTTTTTTAATACTGCTATAAGCACATTAAAAATAAACCCAAAAATCAAATAAAATGAACTTGAGTTAATTTTGATAAGAATGAAGCTAAAGATGATTTATCTATTGGATTAAATAAATATGACATCAGAAGCATAGGTGCTAGTGTCAGACTATTGAATGCACAGTCTGCATAATCTTTAACTCATGTATACATTTAAGATACTATCAAACTCTTTTAATTACTATCCTTATGTTAGAAGCTTTGTTTGTCTTAGCTAGAGAAATGTCACTTCAATAAAACCAAAAGAATTTTAAAAAATACCCACATGCTTAAAAGCAAAAAATAGCAAAATGTGGGGAAAAAGTCATCTTTGCAAGGAAAGGTCAGCAGAAACATATGGATCGCAAGTGAAATTAAAATAAGGTTTCTGTACAGACTAGATACTGCGGTAGATAGCAGTGCCACAGGCCAGACAGAAGGTTGCCAAGGCTCCAGGCTGCTTTCTTGTTTCTGCTAGGCTCAAGACTTTATCCAACATTACTTTGGTGATAACACTTGTTATATATCCTCTGGATCCTCAGATGCTTAATCATCCTGTAATAGACTTTATCCAGGAAACCTAAAGGCCAGCCATATTTCATCATTTCTTAAGTTTCATTATAAAACAGCCATCTGTACATGTCTGGAGGCATATTTTTATTTGGGTTATTATTTGATAACGTACAGACAATCCAATCTACAATCCTTTTTAATGTGTCTTTTTTTAAAAGTCCAAAGGAAAATTTTAAATGGTCGTATTTTAAAATTTTCTATTTTATTTAGTTAAGACCTCACATAAGATTTCTTGCACTCATATTAAATAAGAAGATAATAAGTAATTACCTGGAATAACAAAGAATATGTTCATTGAAAAGTACTTGATTATATTTTCTTATTGAGGATTTTGTTGTTGTTAAGCAAACTGCCCATGTGCTTAGAGTTGGAGATCTCACACAAGCATCCTATATAGAAACTTTCTATAGAGGAAACTCTTGAAACTTTCCACTAAATCACATTCTTTTGCTTTTGTTTCATATTAATGTATTACCTACTAATTTTTATATTAGATGCTTCTATCACCAACCAGATTCAAGGTAGGGTTTGAGTTAGATGCTTTAAAGCTAGCTTTGAAATTCTGCTCTAGCAACACTCCCTGCCCTTCACTCAGAATTTTGAGCCTACAGGGTCAAAGACAGCTGCCCCTAGGCCACCTGCAACAGGTGCCCGGCATTCTCCCATTGGATGTTTACTCTTTGACATTAAGGCAAATATGCAAATACTGTAGGTCCACTTGGAGATGGAATAGAAGGAAAAGTAATACATTAAATATTTATGCATATTTCGTGTGAAGTAATGCATAAATTCATGTGAATTTTTCCATACTGTTTTCTTTTTTATGAGGAAAACTTGAAGAACTTATTTTGTCTAGAGCAAGAAATAGGAGAGTGTACTTTAAATGGAGCAAGGGAAAGAGTAGTTGAGACGGCGCCTGGTAGAAATGGGAGGTGGGCTTGAAAGTTGGGAGAGTTGGAGGGTTGTAGCCATGCCAATCAGGTTTTTAGCAGGAAACAGATGGAAAACATTTGAATCGAATAACCTAATGGAGAGGTGATTTCTAAAGGATGAGGTAGGAATAGGTCAGGAAGGAGTAGATTGTAGTAGCAGAGAACTGTGTAGAGAGGATTTCCGCATAGACGCGGTGCTTTGAGGGGAAGACCCTGCAGAGCCATGGCCGCGCACAGTGGACAACAAACTGCCCTGGGCATGTATCAGGAGACCCAAATTCAGTTTTCTCCTGTGCAGTGTTCTGGTTAAGTCTTGAGTCTCCGTGCCTTATTTTTCTTATCCAGGAGACATAAATCTTTCCCAGAGACTAAAGGTGTATCAGATAATATCATTTCTATGAACGCTCCAAACACAGAGCCCTACAGAGAAGGTTGGAAAAAAATAAAAGTTTAATTTCAAGAGAATACAAACATCAAAAGCACAGGTAAAATAAAAGGAAGATGTCTTTACCTGAGACAGGTCCTAAGGCCAATACATGGGATGTAATGTACATATATGCACTCACAGATAAATATTTCAGAGACATGTGTATAAATATTGGGCCAACTAAGTCCACAAAGTTAGAAAGACAGAGAGAGAAAGAGGGAAAACACCACCCCACCCCCAAATCCAAAACATTTTCCTGAAGCATTAGGATCAAGATTAGTAAATACCTGTTTCGCTAGCAGAGGTCTGACCAAAGAGTGAGCCGTCAGTGCGAACACCATCGCAGGGCTGTCCCAGTCACGTGCTGGAAATGGAACTACCGGCTTGTAGTTGCAGCAGACGGGTGGTTTTAAATCTTTGGTCATATTCCTGGAAATTTGCTTTATACACATATACATTTTTAGTATGCACTGTTAACTTTCTTATTAAGCCACAGCAAGAAATCTGTTTTTTTTTCAGCCGTGTTTCCCTATGGAACAACTTGCTTTCAGTTTAAATCCCAGCATACGGTAATGTATGAAGAATGTCAATGTACTTTATTTCCTACAAGATGGTCTCGTAAGAAAAATGGCTAGTTAAAGGAGATGATACACTTCTTAAGTCTGCATCAGGGAAAAGAGAAATTATTTGTTTGATGTGAGTTTGGTATTGTGTTATGACACTGTCTAACACGATTGCAGTTTAAAATTCTATCTGAAGTCCCCCTGTTTGGACTGTCGATTCAGGGTGGAAAACAATTTTATCAGAAGGGTCAAGGATATGATGAATGGTGAAGGTATCAACTTTGTTAGCTTATGTTTTTTTTACTGCCACATGATTCTTCATGTACTATAGCATGTATGAACCAAAAGGCATTAATTCAAAGACCAGAAATTCAATGAGTTTTAAACTAATCACCTCAAGGTGTAATGAATTTATCTGCAGTGTTCTTTACATATTGATGTCTATGCCTACTTTGCTCCCTTGGTTCATATTCAATATTTGCCATAGAAGGGAAATTATTAATAAATGCCTTTAAAATGCAAATTTGTCAAGGTCAGAGTTGCAAAATCAGAGGCTTGTGTTGAACCATGCACTGAATTTTACTTCTCTTTAGTAGTTGGTTTGATTATCAATCAAAACGGTGACTACAATAGTTAAAAATTAATTTATAAAAGTCATTATCAGCCTTTTCTTTGTCTAATTGAGCTTCATGTAAGGGAAAAATCTTTTGGACAGGGAGGAGATGAGAATACAATCAATATAAACAAAACAGATATTACACTCTATGGAACTGAAGTATCCAAAAGAATTTGGGTGTAAGTAGAATTTTTGAAAGTGAATCTTGCTCCTTTGAGGACTTGCTTTATAAAATAGGGGCTACATTTCTTGTGGAAGATATATTTTGAGGTATCTTCCTAGCACTCTATCCCTAGGAAATATCCTCTCACCACCACGGGTTGGGCCCTGTCTGCCATGTTTTGGTTACATGTCCGTGCCTATGAACTTGAGCTGTGAACAAGGCTGGACAACGGATCCAAACTAGATCAATACAATAAAATCTTTTTTTCCTGGGACTTTGAAATTGGGACTTGGAGTTTTCCAATTAGACTCTAGTCTCATCCATAAGTTATATTATACTCCTCTCCTTAGTTTCTATATATGACACACTCTGTAATTTAGTAATGCTTCCTTTTGTTTTTACCTAGTTCACATTAATATCTATTACTATAACCAGATTTACTTCTTCCTTGGGGTGAACCCAATGGATTGGATTAAAGACTTTGGTTTGAAAATGCAGTCTGACTATTGTCAAGACCTTCTGGGGCCCTATTCCAACAGCAAGATTTTCCCTGTACTGCTTCTTCCAAGCCTTCCCACCCACAGTCCTAGCATGCGGGCACAGTCTCCAGTTTTCTTCCAGACATTCTTACCTTCAGAATACATGTGTTCTTCTGAGGCATGGAAATTCTTTTACCTTCCTGCTGTTAAGAGTGTCATTCTTCCAATTTACTGTTAAATTTACAGTTTTAAAGCAATCTAGGCTTTAATATTTCATTGAACATAAGATAAAAAGAAATAAAATAATAGTAAATTTTATCTATTTTGAAAACAGTTTTAAGTGCTCTCAGTTTCTCACCTTTTCATTAAAGGCCAGGCAGTAACTATTTTAGTCTTGTGGGCCACATGGCTTCTGTCTCAACTACTCGAGTCTGCTATGGTAGCACAAAAGTGGCCACAGACAATGTATAAGCAAATGAGCATGGCTGTGTCCAATAAAACCTTATTTACAAAACAGATGGTAGACACAGGATTGACTTAAAGCCTGATTCATACTGGAACTCAGTCAGCTCTGTCACTTTACTCCCTACTCCATGCCTTCACACACTCAGGGCTCCACTAAAATTAAATTTCTTTCTGTGCCCATTAGCTACACTGTACATTCACCACTCTGTGATTCCACTCCCTTGGAGGAGGGCTGGGGTGGGGCATGGGAGACTGGGGTTTCACCAATCACATTTCCACAAGAAGTGCCTTTACATCAAGTTCATGGTCTTACTACTTGTTAAGTGGATGATGACAATATTCTGAAGAAAGCATAGTAAAATATATGACTAATACTCAGCACTAATACTGTGAAACAGATAAAGAAGGTAGTCAAAGGGTTGTGCCCACTTTTTAAAATATGTTTCTTCTCCTACCCGTCTTAATTAATGATGTCATCCTTTCATCAGCCCCTATTCTCATATAAAAGCTGGGTGTGCCTTTCTTTCTGCGTTTTCTTTCCTTTTTCTTTTCTAATCATAAAAGTAGTACCCACCCTTCACATTGCAGGTTAAACGCTCTGTCGTTTATTAAGCCTGATCTTTCCAACTGGCAGTAATTTCTCCCTCTTTGGGATTCCTGTTGCACCCCATCATGCATTTTGATCTTGATATTATGGTTATTTTTAAGTATTTTAATTCAATAACTAAAATATCTAACTAGAGCATTTCTCCTAATAGACTCTGTGTATCCTAGAGAGCACAGACCAGTGTTTTGCAGAGAGTAGGCATTAAATGGTTATCTGATTAATAAATTTTTAACACTTGTAAAAATGGATTTCTTCAAATTGAAGCTCCCTTTATTTGATGAAAAAGTGTTAACTCTATATAAAGATCGAGGTCAAAAGCAAACCTCTGGTTTACTAATCTTTAAAAAATATCCTCAGGCACTTGTGGTCCAGTGTTGTTGAACTTAAGTTGGCATTTTTGCTAGCCAAATTTGCTACATATGAAACCCACTGGCCATTTGGGGATTGACAACTCTCCTACTGCTCCTTTCAAAGAACTTCCCAAGAAAACTGGGATGGATAATCTATGTGCCATATGTGCTGTTAAAATAAAGTTGGATATGCACTAATCAAGCGGTTTCCATGAGAAACACAAGGCCTCCAAAATATGAAAAATCTTTTTAATTGTAGTACTTATGGTAGGCGCTCCAAATAGCAAAATTACATTTCAAACTTTTTTATCTGAAGAACTAGTTTGTACCAAAGCTTAAATATCCTGGAGCAAAAACACTGTGGCTGTTTAAAATGTTGTAAAACAAGTTTGAAACAAGCAAAAGAAAGTTTTCTCTTTCATGTTGCCTGCAAAATCTTTAAATTAGTGCTTAGCTTAAAAGCAAGACTTTTTTTCTTTTTGAAAATGGTGGAGACATAGGTATAGGGTGCCCCTCTCCCACAGCAGGTTGCAGGAGAGAGAGTAAGGAGAGCCAAATAAACTGCTATCCAAATTTGTTTCAGTTATTATTTTTCAAGCTTTATATTATCAAAACATATTAGAAAATAAGTATTACAATAGCAATTTAAATTCTTCTAAGTTATCCTATATTGTAACCTCTGGGAAGTAGGTAGAAATATGTGACTTATTTGTTTAAAGTAGTCTGGGATTGGCAGATTGAAAGACTCCTTATGTCCTTTGCTGTTTTAATTAATCTTAGCTGTAACTTGTTTCATCTCCTTTCTGAGTTGTAGGCTTCTATCTATATTCACTCCTATTCTTTGAATTTCGTTATTTATGCTAAGTGAAATAAGCCAGTCAGAGAAATACCACATGATTTCACTCATATGTGGAATCTAATGAACAAACTGAACTAACAGTTTGTTATTTCAAGATAGAGACAGACTCATAGAGAGGGAGCAGGATGACAGCCGGTGGGCGGGGTGGGGATTAAGGGGAACAGGGATCAAGCAAAAGGGTAAAAGGACTCATGGACATGGACAACAGTGTGGTGATTGCAGGGGAGGGTGTAAGGGAGCTCAATGGCAATGGAAAAAATACTGTAAAAATAAATTTAGAAAAACCCATGGGTAGCTAAAAAGATTTGTACTTGTCTTGCAGTATTCTCAAAGAAGTAGATTGCATCTTCTTTTTTAAATATCTAATTTTTCTTTTTCCTCTAGGGCATGTGTGTTTACCAAGGAAAGGAATAATAGTGCAATGGATAATTTAAAAACTCACAACTGCTTATCTCTATCCTTTCATTTAGAACTTTTTATCATAATTATAAATGACAACAAAATGACTAATATAAGGTTCATAGAGATGATAGAATGTTAGGACTTGTCAATGTCTTTGAAAAGAGACTCTAGCATCCTTGGATGACTGTGGTATATTCAGGGGTACAAGCAGCTTACAGTCATTTGGATTGCTGAAGGGGAGTGGAGGCTGAACTTCCAGGAACAACTCCCAAAGTAGACTCCAGCACTGAGCTGCGAGGATGCTGCTGTCTCTGCTGTGATCAGGAGGAGATGAACCACAGATCCATCCCACGGGCCCCCAGCTGCTGCCTCCTGCACACTACCTCTGTCAGGACCCACACCAGCAAGAGAGACACCTCATGCCCTGCCTCCCTCCTCGTGTGACTCAGTTCTGATTCAAAGTCTGGTATGAAACTACCTGGGTGGATTCTCAATCATGAGGAAACCTGCCTGTATGAGAATCTAGGAAATGTCCATTTTAAGCTTTTCTCAGCATGCAGAAAGACAAGTTTGAGGGAAGTCAGATCAGTGCTGGGTTCATCCACAGAGTCTGCCACGACAGGCAACTTTTGTTCTCTTTTTACTTTGATTCCCACCTCTCCCCCAGCTGGGAGGTTGACAAGGAGCAAAAATGACTAGAATTTGAAAACCAGCTTATGAATCAAGTTGTGTCAACATGCATCAAGGAACAATGTGAAAAATAACTGTTTCCCCATTTCCTTCCCCATCTCCCCTGGATGTAACCAGTGCCTCATCACCACTGTGAGCCTCCGCCAGCACCGATTCCCTCTGCCTGCAGCAGTTCTGACACTGTCGCCACGCTGCCCCCCACTCAGTCTCTGAAACTCCGTATTTGGCTGCCCAGTCTGCCCTGGCACTTTCTACAGCCCATCCCAGATTTTCTGACACCCTATGGGGGAAAGTGATCCCCTCCAAAAATCTCCGATACCTTACATAGGTTTTAATCTCCCAGGCCTGGATGATCCTTGTTCTGAAGTTCTTCTTCCCCTGCTTGGGTTCGGCCCCGTACCAGGCTCGCTCCCTTGTGCAGAATTCGTCTTCACACTGCTGTGCCCCGGCTCTTAGGTCTGGACTGTGCTGTCCTGCCCCGTTTGCTCCACTCTTGCTCCAATATCCTGGACAATGCACCTTCCAGTGCAGACTCTCTTCTCTTCCTGTTCATGCTCTGACACCTTCCGTGGGGTGACTCCCCCACACAGAAGTCCATGCTTGGGCTGCAACTACTCCATGGTGAGTTTCCCCCCATGAAGAGGTCCTCCACCCCTCACTTAAGCTTGAAAACCACGCATTGGGCAGTGCTGCCTCTACACGCATGCACACACACGTATCCTCCTCACCTGGCTTGTTCTTTGACTCCTCAGGTTGGGCCACTGCCTTCCTGTGTGGACATCACTCTTACCATTTTTGGACTTTAAGACCCAAGCCAGGATGTCTCTCCCTGCACCGGGGGGCGGGGGGGGGGGGCACTCCTTTGTCTGCTTGGCTTCTGACACCCTGTATCAGACCTCTCCACCCTGACACCATTTCTTGGCTCTACCTAGTGGCTTTTGACCTGAATTGTTCATTAAGGCAATGGAAGGGAAGAGAAATAGGAGATAGGATTTGACATGTGGAATGTGGTATCAGGGAAATGGGGTACCAAGTGAGATAAGACCCAAAGGTATAATTGTGTGTGAATGTGAGGGATGCAGTGACTATCCTGGTTTCTCCAGAGCATAGAATACATGAGGGGACTTAACTTGTGAGAGGTGAGGATACAGCGCTAATTTGTGATGCTACTGTGGATGGCCTTAAATTGTTAGGGAATGATGCCATATTGGTAGTTATTAGGCAGGTGATTGGCTTTTATATTTCAGAAAAATAAATCACACCAAAGTGTGTAGGAGGTGTGGGAAGACAGAATACTATCAGAATAAGTCCACTGAGAATTGAGAAACTGATCTGGACCAGGTCTATGACAGAGGGCATGAGAAGAAGGGATGCAGTGACAGAGTGGTTATAGGACTTTATCATTCCAGAACGCCATTCTGAGTCTGACCTGGTTTGTGGTGGTCTGACATTGCATGTGAGATATGACTTTCATCAAACAAGCTGCCAGGTATCTTGGCTTTCTGCGGATGTTTTAGATTTTATGGCTGTCTCCCCTAAATTCCTCCTTTAGGACTGAAGCACGTGTTCTCTGTAGCCGGGAGTTTGGCTGCTGACAGCTTGCCACTGAGTTCCTCCTGAGGGAAGGGAAGCTGCCTTGGCCTAGGTTATGCTCCCTGTAAAGAGTCGGCCCACACTTAATGACTGGTCCATAAGGGGACAAAAATCCCTGGCCCCATTCCCTCACTCAAATCGGGACCATTATACCTCCAGGACCTACCCCTAGGGTTGGCTGGGGACTCCTTTGCAACCACATCCTGTTCAACTTTCCCTCTGACCATTCTTGCTTCTCTCACCTGACAGAGTGTGAGCTCCTGAGGGCATGCTCCAAGTACCTCTTGCGTGCAGATCTCGGAGTCTCAGGTCTGTTCCTGGGAAACTGGATTCAAAACACATTCGATCCCAAATGCAGATGTTGATAATCATTCTGTCATTGGCTGACGTCCCCTGTTGTTGTACATGGAGATATTAATTTAGAAGTATTTGCTCCTTCTCAAAGCATTTGTTTCCTCTCAGGAAGTCACTCAGACATCAGGGAAGCCTAGTTCTTTAATGACTGTACCTGATAAAAGTTCAAATAAGTCTCATCCCCCATAGGTGCTGAAGATACATTTCCCTCCCCTGAACCACTGTGGAGATGTGACGAATCACTCTACATGTGATGTGACTCTGAGTCACTTCCAGCATGCTCCTTCCAGCAGAGTTGTGTTTATCACTGCGGGTGTGATGCAGAATTATCTACCTGTAAATCGTATAGATCATACGGTTTTCTACACATAAAGGATACATTTGTTTTGTTTTATTTTCTTACATTTATTGTTGTTGCTTATTTGTCCCTCTTGTTTGTTGTTTGTCAGGGTGGGTGGGGGAGATAGAAATAAATTAATGATAAGATATTGGAAAAGTGAACTCCTGAGAGGAGGGGATATAACACTTGTGCTTAGAACATTACCAGATACATAGTAGGTATCAGTATTTGTTAAATAAAACTTAGTAAAGAAATAATTAACTAAAACTTAACATGAAGTTCACAGGAGCTCTGCAGGTCAAAGAGACAACAATAGAGGCCCTACTGAACATTGTTAGTCATCAGGTGTCAATCTGAAGCTATTGTGATTGCATGAAACTAGGTTTAAAAGGGTTTTGTATTTAGTAGCATATTTTCTATAACGAAGTGATAAATTCTAACATTGCATTTGAAGTTTAGTTTGATACAAAGAATAATTTTCAAAGAGTAGGGGCTTCCATGGTTTGTGAAGCAAAATACTTCAGCAGACATCTAGCTAATTTCATAAAAGAGAAATATTTTAGATTTACTATCTAAATAATTCAGTCTAGTTTAGCCCCTTTCTCCATCCCTGTCCCTCTTACTCCTTTTCCTCCCTAACCCCCTCTTTTCTTTTTTCTCTCTCTGTGCTGAAAAATCTACATTCCCTATCCCATTCATGATTTAAAACTGAAGGTTAAACAGAGTTCCAGCAGGTCTGCTATGGTAGAAGAGTAACTTTGAAACCTTAACCTGGCTGGTGTCCAGCTCTCACAATGCCCTACACCTCTCACCTGACAGAGGAGGAGAGTAAGCATTGCTGTTGTTACTGCTCCTTCTTCATAGTGTGGTGACATTTCAACTCTGCCCTCATCAGTGCTTGGAAATACAGTGACCAACAGCCTCCTTTGCCAGGGACTATCCCAGGGACTGCCCCAGTTTTAGCACTGAAAACTTCTGGAAATCCCTCATCTGGGACAGATCAGGGCAGTAACTAAATGTTTGTCCAGTAACTAATGCTCTTCCCACTGATTAGATGAAAGTGATTCTGATAATTATGTAAGTATTAATTATTGGTCTCTGCTATGAGAGGCCATTTCCCTGCTTTGCTGATGATCTTACATTTGCAAGTGAGTGAAATGAAAAGAGTTCCAGAAATGAGCTGAATTTCTTACCCAAACAAACAAAGGAATGGTGACCTGCTTTAGTACGTCAATCACCTCTGCTGGCCTTGTAACCAGGAAGGAGAAACTGAGTGGGAGAACCTGAAGAGGGCCTGGAAATTTTGAGGAAGAACAAATTTTAGTTCAAGGTATTCTGCTTTGCTTTGGGTCTGAGATAAGACAGTTTTTTAGATCAATCTGTGGAGTCCCAGAAGATAAACAGTAAGTCAAAAAGCTAGAGGAACAGGAAGCCAATAAATGTGAATTCAAAATGCTTCACCATGAGGATAGAGAACATGGTTAGCATCCATCTCAGATTTCTTCACCTTCTGTCCCCTTCTAGCTTGAAACCAGTTATCATTAGTTGTTGGCAGATTTGTTCCCTGGATTCTACCCAGTCATACTGATAAGATATTCATTGCTAAAGGTATGTGATGTCTTTGATTGTCTTGATTAAAACTAATGTTGAAAGTGGAGACCAGTTTTAACCAACAATAAATAATAAAAATCTTGAAAAGGAACTTTAACAAGCCATTAATACAAGTTTCCTGAAAATGCTAGCCTGTTTCAGCTTTGCTATGAGAAATCAAGGGGACGAATGTATCTACTGTTGGGTTCAAAGGTGAAATGACAAGTGGAAGCACATCCCTGGAGGCCTAAAGTCTGCAAAGGAATCAGAATTTCAGAACCTCAAGAAAAGGTGAAGCCAAGGGGGACAGAACGAGGATACTTTTAATATCGCCATTTTTCTTCTAGAGCTCAATTACTTGAAAACAATGGAGAGTTCCTGTCTCTTTGTAACAAAAGTGTAAGTTATCTTTCATTCAATCACCTCCTTGCCCCATCAGTACCTTCCCTATCCTATCACTTAAGAAGTGGTGGGTCCAGTGGAAGATATAGAATTTCCATCTTCAAGTGGCAGATATTTCCAAACTGAAGGTCCATTTGTATTTATTGGAGCTCTTATCCATTCATTTTTCTCAGTTTAGCTGCTAAAGGATGATAGTCCACAGTGCCATTTTACTGTGCCCTGATACTGTAGTAGTCTCCTAACTGGTCTACCTGCTTACATTCCTACTGCCTCCAAGTCCATTGTATCATATCAGTTGGAGTGAACTTGGAAAAACTTAGATCATATTACTTTATCCCTTACCCCACCATCAGGGTTAAACTCCTCTAATGGGCTCCTATCACACTTAATATAAAATATCTGAAATCTTTATCACAGTTTACAAGGCATCACATAATTTGGCCCCTACCTGCCTCTCTTACTTCGTCTCATCCACAAAGCTTCAGCCACTCTGCTTTTTCTGTTTCTTGAACGTGCTAAGTTAATGCCTACGTGGTATAACAGGAGCTAGGGATGTTTCCTCTTTCAGCTGCTGGAATACTGCCTTTTTTTTTGTTAGTTATCTAGTTAGTCATTCTTTATTATATTAGCGTGTCTTAAACTGCAAATCACCTTTTCTCACGGACATTCATTTATTTATTTTTGTTTGTTTTCCTCCTTGACCAGACTGCCAGCTTCATGAAAGCAGGGGCTAGTCACCTTGTTCTGTGCATTAACTGTAAGTCCTAGAACAGTGCCTAATAGATAGCTGATACTCAGTAAATCTTTGTTAAAGTGACAGGTTTCTATTTGCAAAATGCTAACAAACAAATCTGGTTGTATATCAAAGATAATATAAATGAAGAGCTATATACACAAGACAACAAACAGAAGAGATACTAAAAGGCAAAATGTGACTAAGTACTATATGAACTTTTTATCATAAAGCATTGATTTAGTTAAAACACAAAGGAACAGGATGCTTCCAGTTAAGATGGAGGCATAGGTAGACACACTTTGCCTCCTCGTGCATCCATAGGAAGAATTACAACCGGATCTCAAAACTAATAACACCATTAGAACCATCAGAAAATCAATCTGTATGGAAGTCCGACAACCAAGGATTTAAAGAAGACGTATTCAGCCAGAAGGGCAGGAGGGGTAGAGTCATGGAGATGGGTGAAGAGGTAGTATGGTGAAAAGGCAGTGGGGTGGCACAGATGGGCAAGATACCTTAGGGGTGAGTTCCAGCCCCCTGCCAGACCACACATTCCAGGGTTCCAGCATTGGGAAGATAGATCCCTGATACTTCTGGCTGTAAAAACTAGTGGGGGTTGGGGGGGCCGAAGAAATTGCCAGATTTTCACCTCTTAAAGGGCCAGCATAGTCTTATAACATATGCAAACCAACCCACTCTGGGATTCACCACCAGAGAAGCAGCTGGAATGGCACCAATGGCACATGGGAAGGCGGTGAAGTGACTGCAAATGCAGTGAGCTCTGGGCAAACCATCAGAAGCCAGGCAGCGGCACTGTCTCTTCTCCAAGCCCTACCCATACAGCCACAAAATGGTGAAGCAGGTGCCACTCTTTGGCAATTACCTAAGGCTCCACCCCACACAATTTACAGGTGCCTTTTCTACATAGGCCACACTACTAAGATAGTGAGTCAAAGCAGCTCTCCCTAATACACAACATAGGGAGGCTGCTTAATTGAGAAGACAAAGAAATATGGCCCAAATGACAGAACAGAATAAAACTCCAGAAAAAGAACTAAATGAAACAGAGATAGCCAACCTATTAGATGCAGAGATCAAAACACAATTTATCAGGATGCTTGGAGAACTCCTTGAGTATGGCAAAAAAATAAAGGAAGAAATGAAGGTTACCCTAAGTGAAATACAGAGTAATCCATAGGAAAACAACAGAGAAGGGAAGGAAGCTGGGGTTCAAATCAACTATTTGGGACATAAGGAAGATATAAACATTCAACCAGAACTGAAAGAAGAAATAAACATTCAGAAAAAAATTAGGAGAGGCTTAGGAACCTCTGGGATATCTCCAAATATGCCAACATCCAAATCATAGGGATGCCAAAAGGAGAAGAGGAAGAACAAGGAATTGAAAACTCATTTGAAAAAATAATGAATGAAAACTTCCCTCATTTAGTGAAGGAAATAGACATACAAGTCCAATAAGCATAGAGAGTCCCAAATGAGTTGGACACAAAGAGGACCTTGCCAAGGCTCATCATAATTCAAAGGTCAAAGGTTAAAGATAAAGAGAGAATCTTAAAAGCAGCAAGAGAAAATCAGAGAGTTACCTACAAAGGAGTTTCCATCAGACTGTCAGCTGATTTCTCAAAACAAACTTTGCAGGCAAGAGGGACTGGCAAGAAGTATTCCAAGTGATGAAAAACAAGGGCCTACAACCTAGATTACTCTATCCAGCAAAGCTATCATTTAGAATGGAAAGGCAGATAAAGTGCTTCCCAGACCAAGTAAAACTAAAGTTTACCATCACCAAGCCATTATTACAGGAAGTATTAAAGGAACTTATTTAAGAAAAAAGAAAAGGATCAAAACCATGAACACTAAAATGGAAACAAATTCACAACTATCAACAACTGAATCTAAAAACAAAAATGAAAACAAACAAACAAACAAAAAAACCCCAACAAACTGAGCAAACAGCCAGAACAGGAACAGAATCATAGATATGGAGATCATTTGGAGGGTTATCAGCTGTGAGGGAGAAGGGTGAGAATGGGGAAATGGTATAGGGATTAAGAAGCATATTGATAGGAACAAAGTAGGCAGGAGGTTGTTAAGAATAGCATAGGAAATGGAGACGTCAAAGAACACACATACAACCCACGGACATGAGGGGGGTGATTCATAAATGGAAAGTGGGTATCTGGCTCAGGTGGTTTGTGGGGGGGTGGGCAAAGGAGGAAAAATTGGTACAACTATAATAACATAATCAATAAAAAAGGACAAAGGAGGAGACAACACCTGATATTACTGTCAATAATTATAAGTTCTAAAAGCTAGTTTCAACAAGAAGGCAGGAAAAGTCTTAAGTGGAAGTAGTGGAGAGGACAGAGGAGGGAGGGAGTGTAGATTCAGTACACAGAGTGTTTGAATGCACGCAGACGTCAGCTCCTGCACAAGCATGGCAAAGGCAGCCTGGCTTGCCCCAAGAGGAAATTCTTAATATCTGGAGCTTGGGATAAATGACAGTGGAAATAATATTTTGAAGTCCAACTTTTCACCTCTAAAGGTTTCTGTCTTCCCCCTCTTACCCTCTCCACCACCTTTCCCCTGGCTTGGTGAAGTGAAAGTACCAAGTAGGTTTATAACAGAAAAAGAAGAAGTTGCCTTCCTAGGTAGAGGGTTGGGCAAGTAAAAAGCATGTTTTGCTTGTGGTGGGGGGGGGGCGGAGTAAGCAGGCTATCACTTCCCGTGGAATTGCTAGTCTTTGGTCTTTGGTCTCTCAGCCACACGGCGCTGAAATAGACCAGGCCTGTAGGACACATGGGTATGTTTAGTTTCTACAGGACATTTGTTTTTCTAAACTCCTCCTCCTTCCAAAATTTGGCCAGCGTTAGTCGTTTCCAACTCGGCACGAACCGGCAAGTGTGCTTGTGAGGCTCGCTCGCTTCAGATCAGGCCCCGCCCACACTTAGACGAGATTTGGGCCGATCTTACTCTTGGCTTGGGTTGCAGTGGCTGATCCCAGCCACTAGCCCGGAGCCCGCTCAGCCTCCTCCCCTAAAGGGGACCGCCCGGCTGCGTGGTGCCAGAGCCCAGCACAACGAGAAAAGTTTGGAGCGCCTGGGGGAGTTGGGCCGCCGGAGGAAGGGAGCCAGAGGACAGGGACCTCCACTCAAAGTTTGAGCGGCCGTCGCCTCATTCCGGGGGCGTCCGTCCCGCAGCGCCCTGCAGCAGCCAGACTTCAGTCCAGCCGGAGGAATGGGGCTCTCGGTCCGGGACCAAGGCGAGCGCTAGGGGCTCGGCTAGAGGACTAGAGGACCGGGAGGAACTTGTTTTGCGAGCTGTCGCCGTGGGCCCTCCTTGTGTGCAGGAACTCTCCGGAATCCGGTGGGGAAGGACTGGATCGCTCTTCCACTGGGATTCGTCAAGAGTTCCGGCGGCCGCTGCGGAGGTTGCCGAGTCTCCCTTTGTCCTCCTAGGACCTCCCTCCTACCCTTTTTTTCCTCCCTCTGTCAGTTAGTGGGTTCCGCTGACCCAGGCCCCAGTGCCCTAGCTGTTCGCCGTCCCCAC